TTCTCTTCAAAACATCACAACAGCCTAATTAACAAAATTCCTACATGAATTAAGCAAGAAAAATCATCTCACTTGCTGTCAGAATTCTCCCCTTTTTCAGCAGAAAATCCGAACAGCACAAGGGCAATTTAAGGCAGGAAATTCGAAGATTCAAGGCAACAATCAATTGACAAAATCCAAGCTTATGGAAGCTATCATCTTACCGGAATTTCTAGCAAGCAAAACCAGATCTGGCGGTATGGCAGGGGCGGGATTCACAAAGAACTAACACAAAATTGACAGAAATAAAAGCAATTAGCGTGAACCCAAGCCAATTTAGAGCTGAAGAGAAGAACTCATGGCTGTTGTTTACCGGAAAAACCCGGAGATGCGCACCACAAGCATGCAGCTCGCGGACAGGGGAGGAGGAGCAGACCAGATCTGGAAAATCCTAGGCTCAACAGGTGTTCTAGAATGAAAAAGGAGGAGAATTCTCCAAGTTTACCGGTGTTCCCGGCCGGAAAAAGGGATGGCGGTGGCTGGGGGCTTGTCGGCTGCAGAGGGTCGGGGAAGAGGAAGAACAGGACACGCGACTGGATGAGGAAGAAAAAAGAAGAAAGAAAAAGGAAAATTTTGCCGACCTTATCCAAATTTCCCTCTTTTAAGCCCCTTGACTTCAGAGCATTTTACTATTAAGTCCATTAATAAAAACCTCTCACAACTAAGTCCTAAAATTTGGGGATATTACAATCCTTATCATAAAATTCTAGAAATCCATACCTATCCCATTTGCTCTCCATGGTTGTTTCCAGCTTAACCTTTTTAACTAGCTTAAAGCTAACTACACCTCTAAACTTTGGGTCACCCATCCTAGAATTCCTGAGGCAACTTATTTATGTTACCTTCTTTGGAACCTATGGCGTGAGAGAAACAATCTTTGTTTCCACAACTACTCTAATTTGCAAGAAATTGCCTCAAAAAGCGGTCTTATTGCAAAACTCTACTCTAGTCCCCCTCTTAGGAAAATTACTTCCTACACCCACCTTCCTATTGGATGGCTTCCCCCAAGGGAGGGGTGGTTTAAAATGAACATTGATGGATCTTCTAACTTCACCCAGACCTGCACTGATGCTGGTGGAGTAATTAGAAATCATGAGGGTACTTGAATCATGGGTTTTACGCAAAATCTTGGCTATAGGACCAATAATGACGCTGGACTTTGGGGCATTAAAACTGACCTAGAATTTGCTACTAAAGTAGAGATTACATTGCTTGAAGTGGAAATTGATTCTATATTCATAATCAATGCTCTAAAAGACTGCTCTATGAAATGCTTAAATCATGAGACTTTGATTGCCTCCTGTAGATTGTTGATCCAGCAATTTGAATAGGTGCTGATCAAGCACACATATCATGAAGCAAATGGTGTGGCTGATACCCTTGCCAACCATGGCGCCCTCATGGAAGCCCTTTTTGTCACTTTTGATTTTATTCTGCTTTTTTGTTCCTCTAGTTACTCTCATGATAGAAATGGTTGTACTATGTATTGAACCACTTTTTGTAAAACTTAATTTGCTTCAATGAAATTCCATTTCCACTAGAAAAAAAAAAAAAAAAACCTAACTCTTACACTTTATTAAAGTTGTTTTGAAAAGAACATATATCTTTACCTACCCCTACCATGTGATCTTTATTACCTTTTTCAGGCCTTGGTTTAGATTCCTTATGACCATATCCAATGTTCAGGAGCAGACCTTAAGATGATGTTTCTCTATATCCCACTTTAACCATGTGACCCGCTTTCTGCATGGAACATTGTTGTTAGCCTTTGACTTGATTTTCTTGCATTGCATCACAACAACTGTGATTTCTTAAGTAAATGCTTCTCTCTCCTTTGATAAATGGTCCCTTCCAGCAATAAATGCCACATTTGTAGGTTATCATGCATTTTGTTTCATATTTACTTCCATTTTCTTGCCTTTACACTACTAGGAAAATGAGCAATTCAAACCGACCATATAGGACCGACTATATATTCGAACCACTATCAGTCCGAATATATCGAAGTGGTACCAAATCCATTAATCAATATATTCGGATCGGTTTCGGTCCGTATATTGTTGGTGCCAAATCACAATGCAATCGCGCCATTAATATTCAAACCGATGACGATCTGAATATATTTTTTGTAAAAAATAAATATTAAATAATAAAAATTAGAAATAAAATATTATTTAAATAAATATATATAGACCAAAATCGATCCGTATATATTACTCTGCAAATGCCAAGATTCATTTAATATTCGAACCGATTTTAGTTTGAATAGTATTAAATATACAGATTGAAATCGGTCCGTAAATGCGCATCAGAGATTCCTTGAACCAATGAGACGTTGTGGCCCACCCTTTGATTTATACCATATAAGGTTGCATGCAACCCTTCTTCCTCACGGCACTCATCCTCCCTTCCAATCTGTCTGCAATTTTCCTCTGTTTTTTTCTTCCTTTGCGTTGCAGGCTTCTC